AATTTTAAAATAAATAAAATTTTTTTGAAAAGATAAAATATTATTTTATTATATAATTTATTATTTTGATGTAAAAAACATATGAACATATCCAGAGAATCAAGTATAAAAAGGTCAATTTTATATTTTTTTAATTAATTTTTTACTATCTGATAATTATATTATATTTCAATTAATTTGAAATTAAATTGCATCAGATCTTATAAAGACAAACTCTTTTCACATTTATTTTTTCACTTATGAGACTCAAATTCAAAATTTTATTTAATAAAATTGAATTCATTTTACTCAGATTAATAAGTTATTAATATTTTATTTTTTTTGTTGTAACGTTAATATATAAAATTTTTAAAATAACTCTACAAAATTCACATAAGTTAAATTTAATCGATAAATTTAGCTTTTAAATTTTTAATTTTAAATAATTTTAATTCCTACATTATTAGAGAGAATACCCAAATACAGATCGAACCCTCAAACGAAAACTGAGACAAATCATCTCATTATCTTTTCAAATTCTTGGACAAATGAAGCAAAATCTAACTTATGACATCATCCTTCGTCAGGAATACGTTAATTCAAAGGTTATATGGCAATTTTCGAGGAGTGATAGCTTAGGAATCACTTTTTTTTTTATCAAGTGTAATTTTTATATATTATTAAATAAGTAAATATAATTATATTATAAGTTTTATGTAAATAAAAAAATTAATTATTTAAATAATTTATTAAATTATAAAAAAATGATAATAAATCTGCAAAGTGAGCCAACACACCCGTTTAAATTTACAAAAGATGCCATCCAGTCAAATTTTCGTTGTCACAAACTTAAAACCATCCCTTGTATTGCCTAAACTTGAAACGAAAAGCTTTTAACTCATTAGTTTTGGAAGTATGAAATCAATTTTCCAAGGAAAATAAAATATTTCATGTGCCTTCTATTGTAGAGGGATTATAGGACATGGCAAAGAGAACAAAGATTAAAGCCTCACATTTAGGTTAATTGGAACTCTCAAGTCTCACATTCAAGTTCCTTCAAACCCAGAAATTCAGGATCTTCGAAACGCGGCGACCTGATTCCTTCGTACCCAGATGCGAACTCAACATTTTGGTTTGTTGGAACCTAGATCTGTGTTCCTTCGAACCTAGAAATTTGGGCTCGTCGGAATCCAACATCCTATTATTGGTCGACGAATCTGGTATCCAAATGGGTTGGTCCATGGAAGAAAATGGCTGCATCTTGATAGATCTAGACGGTGATTTCGAAGATCTTCAACAAGGCAGGTGACCATGATGGTAGATCTAGAGATTTTGATAGCTCATGAGGATCTTTTCTTTGTTGATCTTTTCTGAAATTTTCTTGTTTTATTTTGAGATGTTAAAAGGTAAATTATGTTCGAAGTTTTGTGGGAGTTTGAGCATGGAGAAGAACTTTCACAGACTCTGGATTTTTAAGTATGGGTTTGGGAATTTTTTTTTTCTTTTTTTTTTTTAAGTTAGATTTGGTTTAGAATCGAAAGGTTCAAATGAAAATTTGCATACTGGTTCTCTGAAAAGAGCTGGTGCTGTGTTCTTTTAATCTTAATAGAAAATGGTTGCTTTTTTTTTTTTTTTTTGGGTAAATATAGGAAAATGGTTGCTTGATTTGCTATGAGATTTGACTTCACTGGCTTGGAGCCTTGGATAAGAATTGGAGGAGTTGTAGATTGGCAAATTTTGTAAATTTGAAGGGAGATTTTTAAAAAAATTTCATTTATGTTTTCGCCATTTAAGTTTTTGGTGGGACCTACTTTTAATAGCACAAAGAATAAAAAAAATGAAAACTTTATTTTGGTTACTTTATTTTAAGAGGAATCCTAGGAACACTCGCTCCTGCACTCTCCAACGGACACTTGCTCCAATATTTTCCCACGTCACACTATTTTTGAATGAGGTTATGGGCAACCGATTTTCCCTTTTTAATTTCTTTTCGGCTTTTCGCCATCTCAACCATTCTCGATGTTCTCAACCAGTCGCCACCATTTATTTCCACCGCTGATTAACGTTATCTTGCTTTCAAAGGAGATATATTCATAGTACTCTTTATTTTATAATTTAATACGTATTAATAGGGGTGTTCGCGGTGTGGTTTGGTTCGGATTTTAGTAATTTTTAATCCAATCCAATTTAATCGGTTTGTAAAATTTTTAAACCAATCCAATCCATTATTATATGATAACCAAACCAATCCAATTTAAATCGGATTGGTGTGGTTCGGTCGGATTGATCGATTTTTAACATTATTAAATATATAAGATAAAATAAATAATTTTAATATTAAGTAAAAAACATAAATATAAAATACGTTAATATCCAAATAAATAGAAACATAATTAAAAAAATTATAAATTATAAATAAATTCTTATATCTATTTACAATTGTAAAAATTGAAAAGATTTAAAAATTATAAACAAATTCTTAAACTTTTATCTTGATATCCAACAATGCTCAAAAGAGGCTGTCACCAGCCTCTTAATCTCTCTTAATTTTGAATTTGGATGAATATTTATAAGGATTTAGAAACCCTAATCGAAATAGAAGTAGGATTTGAAATAGAATAAGAAATTTCAATGTTGGACACTGAACCTATGGTGTTGACACTTTGAATTACGTTTCGACACAAAATTGAAACAGAAAGTTTGGTATGAATTTTTAACGCATAGTGTCGACACCCATATTATGTGTCGACACTACGCTCGTGTCGAGTTTCTGGGCTCCTTTCACAATTTCTTCAATTGTAAAATAACATATCTGTCCTCCTATTATTATGCATTTAAGTTTTTTTTTGCACAAAAAATGAAAATCATGTAAAATCTCATAAAATTTATCCAAATATTAATAATATCAAAACAAAAATTCCACATCAATGCTTATATGAATTCAACTCATCAACTATGTCACTAGAGTCACTGATAATGTTATAAAGCAATTCCATCTGCATTACAACAAATCATAGCTCCAAATCCACTGCACAAAGAAAACAAGGCCTTACCTAATCAACTCTGAAAAGAGTACTGAATTACAATAGATCATAGCTCCAAATCCACAAAGTCGTTTGAAAGCTTTGCAATCTCTAAATGCAATAAAAAAAAAATATCATTAGTTAATAGTATAAGATTTGTCAATTTAGTAAGATGATGAATACAACTTTAAAATTATTAATTGTAAGTAAAAGTAGTTTAGTACCTTGCTCAATTTCATCTGCAACTTCTTGTGTTTCCATTTTCTCTAGCAATGGTGTAGATCGAAACCAGTTTTGAGTGCAAATAAGTATCTCCACTGTTTTAGGACTTAAAGAGCTTCTATATGGATCCAATACACGGCCTCCTGTGCTAAAAGCAGACTCTGAAGCCACTGTAGACATTGGGACAGCAAATACATCCCTTGCTATCAAGGATAGGATTGGATATCTTGAGGAGTTAACTTTCCACCAATTCAAGATGTGGAATTTGTCACTTTTCTTTTCTTTATCCTCTGCCAAGTACAAATCAACTTCATTTTTACCATCTTCTTCATTTTCCATGCTCATTTTCTCTTCATAAAGATCTGCAAACATTGAAAAATCATCATTGATAGCCTCATCATCCTTTCCCTGTGAACTTGGCCTATTGGAATTGCTATTATCTTCATCCATAAACCCACCGAGTGTGCAATACTCTTCAAACATCTTGTTTAGAGTACTTTTCACTTTGTAACTTAAGGTCTCTACAGTAATCCTATCATAGAGTTTCCCAAAAACAAATTCAACAAAACTCAGCTTATATCTTGGGTCTAGCACACATGCAATAAAAATTAAAACATTCATGTTAGATGCTGCTCCCCAATACTTCTCATGCTTTTCCCTCATTTTTTCAGCAATTGTAGAAAACAATGGATCATTACTTCCACTCCACTTGTTCAACAAGTTAAGAATTGTGGAGAAGTCATGAAAATACATGTGAGATGTGACATGAGTAGACCCTGAAATACGAACAGTGGCATCATAGAAAACTTTTAAAAATTTGACAATTTTTTCTGCATTTTCCCAATCTTCAAATTCAGGAGGACCTTTCTTTCTCTCACTCACATTCTCTCCAAAGGAAAATTCCATCAAATACAACCCATCAGTATCATGAAGCCTCTCAAAAGCCTTCTGAAACTTAAGGGCAGCTTCAAGCATCAAATAGGTGGAGTTCCACCTTGTTGAAACATCTAAACAAACTAATGATTTACATTGGATTTTTTCACGTTCAACACAACCTTTGAATCTTTGCATCCGAGAAGGTGAAGCTCGTACATACCTTATTGCATTTCTAATTTTCAAGATTGAATCATGCAAGTTCTTCAAACCTTCATTGACTATGAGGTTTAGGATGTGTGCACAACATCTCATATGCAAAAGCTCACCATTAAGCACACTTCCCCCCCAATCTCGAATCTTTTTCCTCAAATAAGCAACAGCAATGTCATTAGATGTAGCATTATCAACAGTAATTGCAAAAACCTTCTCAATCCCCCATTCAGACAACTTACTTTCTAAAGCCTTTCCTATAGTTTCACCTTTGTGGTCAATAATTTGACAAAAACCAATAATCCTTTTGTGGTAGGTCCAATCATTGTCTATGAAATGGACAGTCAAATACATATAATTTAGATTTTGAATAGAGGTCCAACAATCAGTGGTAAGGCTCACATGCTGTAAGCTTCTACTAAGCACATCTTTTAACTTTTTCTTC